AAATGGAAAACCTAACCATTGAACAAAAAACATTCCTCATCAAATCATATTACCGAAGAGGATATTCAACTACTGCAGCAATAAGAGCATTTCATTCTAAGTATGGCACACACACTGCAGTGTCTGATTCGAGTCTCAGACGGTAAATAGAGTGAATGAACTGGATAATCAAATTTTTTTTTCTTTTTTTTTTTTTGAAGATTTATGCATTTTTCGACCAATTCATGGGTATTTTCAGGTTAATTGAGAAATTTGATCAATACGGTACACTAGACGATAGGAGGCATGAGAATCCTGGCCCTTCACCTACTGTAACCACAGAGGAGGTTATCCGCACAACTGAAGAACATTTCAAAAAATATCCAAATGATACTCTTCGAAAGGCTTCCCAAACCTTCAAAGTCTAGAGAACTTCACTTCACCGTATCTTAAAAGTGTTTTTAAACTTCCATCCCTACAAAATTTCTGTACATCAATTTTCAACTGAAGAAGCGATGGTTCGTCGTGTGGAATTTTGCCAAGACCTTTACAATCTTTTTGAATCCAAGGGGATGAAGACACAGAATATCATCTTCTCTGACGAAGCACATTTCTACTTAGGTGGCTTGGTAAATAAACAAAATTTTCGCTTTTGGGGGACTGAGTCACCTCACGTCGTTGAAAACAAGTCCTCACACCCGAAAAAAGTTACTGCATGGGCGGCAGTTACCATAAAGGGTGTTTTTCTTGAATTCCTCGAGGGTCGGACAATTGATGCCGACATTTACTGTTAGTTCTTGAAAAAGAACTTCTTTTCTTGGGCACGAAAAAATCAATTAGTCAAGAATTTCTACTTCATGCAAGATGGTGCCGCCCCACACAGGACTACTGGAGTATTTGAAACACTTTTTTTCCGTTTACGGCACTCGTGTGTTAGGTTTAGGTTACCCTAAGTATGCCCATGGGGGCATGGAATGACCGCCTTACAGTCCTGACTTAAATCCCTGTGATTTTTGCCTGTGGGGTTTTCTCAAGGACAAGTGCTATGAAAAGCATCCGACAACTGTGGAAGAACTGCAAGACGCAATTAGGGATGCTGTCTGAGCTATTGATGAAAACATAATACAGCGCATCTATACCAGCTTGGAGCGTAGGATAGAGTTCTGTAGTACAAGTGATGGCGTACACTTGGAAGGGATTGTATTGTAATTTGCCGAATGTTCTGTGTACAATAAAAAAAACAACAATTATTTACACTTAACCGTATTCAAGTTATTCGCAATGTACTTTTGACACATACTATGGGACATCCTTTATCAATTAATCCTGCGGTTAATTGATCAATTATTAATTGTTTCACAGTGAAGAATATAGAATAAACCGTGTTAATCAATAGGTCGTTTTAGTGGACGGATGAACATTGGAATTCGTGATAATAATTGAGTAATAATTGAAGAATTTAAACTGGGTGAGTAAATTGTTGACTTATTATTAGAAATTATCTAGATTCATCAATCAAGGAATCATTATTGATTCGGAGTGAAGGGGAAAATCAACATTGAATTCTGGACTACGATGCAATTAAGGTATTATCTAAGCCTCGAAGTCACAAATCGTGTGCAGTTCATTTAAGTGATGAAAATTTTATCAGTGATCCTCATAATGATAAAATAGGACCATCAGGGACGTATTCGTCACTGGGAATCGTCCACGACAATAACGTTTTGTGAATAATATATACGATTGATTGGGCACAATCGCTCAGAAAATATAGTTCAATGATTATTTTTCACGGTGGTATATTTTTTTCGATGGGTCTGTTGAGGATTTTTGTCGGGAAGCAAAAATACCTTGGACATTTCTCGCTTTTCACCCCGTACTCAATGCATCATATTCATTTCTAAATAGTTATGTTTCGTCGATTAGACTATCAAAATCAATAATAAAATGTCAGAATATAGGTGAAATAACTGTGTTTCAGGTGGATCCAAGAAACGGGAAGTCTTTCGTGGGACTCGAGGCTTATATAATACCTTAATTAATCTTTTTTCTTTGACTTCCATTCAGCAATGATTCCATAACCTCTACATTATTGGAGAATACCGTACTATTAATTATTCCTTTTTTTTTCTTTCCCTCATGAATATTATGCTCGTCATGATGATCATACTTATTTTTTTAAATTCACAGATTAGAATCCAGCCCTCAGGGAAGAAGGAGGAAAAGTTAGACTACATCTAGTAAGCATAAATTGAGAATTTCTCAAGGACTCCTCCATGGAGTTTGTGTAGTTCTTCAGTGCACGTATGAAATATTTTGTTTCACCTCTATCGCGATAACTCGATATATATATAATCACCAGATCGTTCTGTCATTTGTATTTTCTTTGTAATCTTCATTTTCACTTTCGAATCAAATGATCGAATTTCTTAGAGTTGTTGTGGAATTAATTGAGAATTAGGGCGGGTGTTGGTCAATTTCAGTTTTTTCTTCCAGTGTGGATCACTTTCTATCAGTAATACTAGATTTTAAAAATGGGGATAGGTCCGAAAACGAAAAAAGGTAGGCGTTCAATGAATGTTAGAGATGCTGAAAGAGATGAACAAAAGCAAATTCGATTGCTCAAACAAGCCATCCGTAATAAGGCTCGACGACTTGAAAAGAAAGATCGTAATGATAGGAAAGGCGAAGCAATATAAAAAAAAACGAGGACTGAGAACCATTTTGATGGGATGCGCATCTCATGCGATTACTTTAATATACAACAAAATCAATTGAATAATGGTACAAATGGATCTCCACAGCATCAGTATCAACACTATGAAGAGCATTCCCTGGGCGATACAACCAATCTTCATCAGAATAGATGTTCAGATGGTAACCATAACGGAATTGAAATATGTGATAAATTGCACTCGTGGAGAATTGTCGTCAATATTACGTTACTATTGATAATCTTAAGAATGCTCTTAGCACTTTGAAACGTATCAATCCTTTATATCGTGATGTAGAGGTTAATTTCAATTCAGTCAATTCAGATCTTTCAGAAATTTGGCAAGTTAGATTAAATTCCGGTGAAAATATAGCTGAAATTCATGTCCGAGAAGAAACCCATCATACTCAATTGGAAATCGAGGAGATTGCCGGTGGGCGAGCTATCGTGCGTGGCTCATTTCATCATGGCCACCCAAGATTCTCAGAAGATAGTAGAGGAAAACAATGTACAGCAAACGCAGCAGTAGATATTGCGGCGTCAAAATTGGAAGATTCTCCCAGATGGACGCATAATTTTATTGATAATTTGTTGATGACTGGCGACAGACTCTATCGTGACTCGATTATGCATCGCAATCAACCTCATCCTGATGAAATTGATGTGCAATATTTAGAAGTGAGTGGATTGCAGATAAATGTGGCAATATTAGGGAATCATTGCCAACTAGTTATTGACGAGCGTTTCGAGAATCAAATTCATGGTAATCTAGAAAGAATTATAGACCCACAGTATCATCCGTCACTCCTTAATGGGTTGAGACGGTTCTTTGATTCTGCAACTTCTGGTATTATAACATCGAAGGGATTCTCGTTCGCTATTTGGTCTCAGAATGACATTTTTTGGATGTTCGATTCTCACTCACGGGGAGCTAAATGTAGACAAGGACAGAAGGATACTGCATGTTTGATGAGGTTTCCTCGAATAGAATCATTAGCACTCATGTTAAAGAGTAATATACCGAAATCCAATAACGATCAGATTGCTGGACTGTATTCAATTATTCCTCTTGACGCGACTGTCATCCCTCAAGTTGATGAGATACCCCATTCTAATGAATCCAATATTGGAGAAAACAATCCAAACTCTTCAGAACAACAATCTGTTGGAAGTTATACTGTCATCGAACAGAGGGCAAGCGAAATGATGAACTCCGAACGTAATATTACGGACCAGAATCTGCGCCCTCTAGAGAGAGAATTAGTCGATAACAACATTCCACAACCCCAAAATATTGATAATAGTAACTGTTATCAATCTAGTTCGCAAAACGATACAAACTCACGGCTCAATAACAGTCAATTATCAGCGTCAGAACAATCGAATTTGATCAGTACTTCTATGCCTCAGTTATTCGGTGGTCGTATACCAGCCGCTGATGAAGTTATTGAAGGAATGGAACCAGAACGAGCTGTTCCGTTATTCAATTTGAAGAAGAAAACTACGGCTCCCCTCAATTTTAGAGTGGAAACGAGAGCTGAAGAATTATGCTGGTGGCATTTGTTTCCCCATGGTCGAGGTGGCCTTCGTGATGATAGACGTCAATATTCAATTACACCTCTTGATTACTATCAAGCGAGAATCATGGGAGAAGATAATCGTTTTCAACGAAATGATTGTGTTTTATGCGCTTTCTGTTGTGGAACAACACCGTACCCAGCAAAATGTTTCAGTGATGTTTCGAATGCGACAAAATGGTAACCAATCTGAAGATTTGGTCGAAAATATCTTTCTCAATAAGCGGTCGATACGTGGATCTAATGCTTATTGGCAATCAGCACTAAGTGATTTGCTGGCGACGGTTCGAAATTTGGGCCCTCCGCAATGGTTTGTCACACTCAGTTGCAATGATCTTAACTGGCCCGATATGCCTAAAGCTTTACTAATTGCGGATAATCGTCCAAACGTAGATCCTGAATCATTGACATTTTCCGAAGTGCAGCATCTAGTGGAGCAATATCCAGCAGTTTTATGTCGACAGTTCATGGTAAGAGTTCATGCAATCATAAGATTTCTCCAACATCATAACGACGTATTTGGAGGAAACCTTGTTGATTATTGGTGGAGAATTGAATTTCAGAATCGAGGAAGCCCTCATTTACATAGGGTTTGTTGGACTGAAGGTATACCTCCATTTGACGCTCCAGGAGGGATTGAATTCATTGATAAAATTATATTATGTTCATTGAATACAGGTGATGAGAAACTCAATGGGCTAGTATCCAGAGTACAAATGCACAAGCGTACAATGACCTGTCACAAGAATAGAACTGATCAAGCATGCCGCTTTAGCTTTCCAAAGAAGGTATCTGAAACGACCAAATTATCAGGCCCTGAAGAATCTATACGAAATAAAGGACGATGCTTCGTATTCAAGCGTACTCAAGCAGAAATAAATGTCAATACCTACAAACCTAAGTTACTCAGAGTTTGGGAAGGAAATATGGACATACAAACTTGTGGAAATGTTATTGCTCTCGCCTATTACATTCCTAAATACATTTCGAAGAGTAAACCTGCCGGTGGAGATCACGTTGTCAGAGAAGCTGTTCAGAGAGCTAAATCTTACGGTGGGGGTATTGGCAGGCAGCTTTATGCTGTTTCAAATGCAATACTTAATCAGAGACATGTGTCGGCTTCAGAATGTGCCTTTAGGTTATGTCACTTGAAATTGAGAAATAGTACCAGAAAGGTAGTTTTCGTAAACACTTGCAAGCCCGAAGAACGTTATCGTGTACTACGCAATGACCTCTGTGATGTCCATTTGAACATTTTCGATCGATACGTTAATCGTCCAGATAGTTTAGAAGGAATTAGTCTTGCGGAATTTGCGGTCCATTATGAAAATCAACGAAAAAGAATTTTCAGGAGGACGAAGATGATGGTGATCCGGAAGTTTATGATACTGGTGAACCACAGCTGAGAATTCGGTATATTACTCTCAAAAATGGAATGCGAATGCAGAAACGTTCACGAGCTGCTGTATTGAGAACGCGATATGTTACTCTAATTGGTGATAGGGAAGGCTATTTTTATAACTATCTAGTAGTTCACGTGCCCTCCAGAAACGAAGGCGAGGTGTTAGAAGAATATGAAAGTGCTGAAGAAGAATTTATTGCACAGCAGCATTTACTACGACCTTTGCAACCGGGACAAAATATTCAAGAGTTCCGGAATATTGAACAAGAGCTACAGACAGTTCTGAGACAGATCGCAGCACTAGATATGCCCGATGAACAGAATGATGAGAATCAGCAAGGGCATTCCTATGATGTTGTAAGGGGGATGTTTGATGAGTGCAACCCTGAGATAGGTAATATAGAGATTGCGGATAACGAAGATCCTGAAGACAGAGATATGTCGGAAGATGACTATCTACACAATATAAGGAGCATGAACGTGGAACAGAGACGTTTATTCACCACGATTCGAGATAGGATACGTCAGGAGCTGAACAACGGAAATGATGAAAGTTCTGACAATGAACCACTCAAATTATTTGTAACTGAAGGCCCCGGGTCAGGGAAGACGTTTTTATTGAAGATGATTGTTGAGCTAATTAAACGTGGTTATGCTCCTCCACTAGATCCAATGTTGAAAACCTGTTTTGTTGAAGTTGCGGCACTCACCGGCGTAGCAGCTCGTTTGGTGAACGGCCATACACTGCCCTCAACATTTGCCTTCCAGATTGAGAAAGGAAAAGCTGCTGTATATCGTCAAATGACCGATCAACGACTAGAAGAGGGTCGACGTCGCTGGCGGCATATACATTGGCTCATCATCGATGAGGTTTCGATGGTTTCATATGAAATATTACGGGCTGTCCATTTACGTCTCCAAGAACTGAAGAATAACACTTCACTATTTGGAGGAATTAATATCCTTCTGTTTGCAGATATAATGCAATTGCCACCAGTCCGAGGCCACTGGTGCTTCGAGAAATGGTCACATTTAACAGCTGAACCACATGTATGGCGATTTATTGGATTATGTGGACTAACAACAAATATGCGACAACGAGGTGACACGGATTTCATATGTTTGCTCAACAATTTGCGAGTGGGTGAATTCCTCATGCCTCAATATGAAATCTTATTGAAGCAAACAGGCCTTCCAGAAGTCAATGATTTTGCTGATGATAAAGCTGTTCGTATTTTCCCCACTCTGAAACTTGTCGATGGATATAATGATAAAATGATTGCCAAATTGAGTGAGCGTGAAGGAATGTACGTATGCAATGCCAGAGACGAGTCCCGCGAACCTGGAACATATGGCCAAACCCCAAATCGTCTCAATTGACCCGAATAATACAGGTGGCTTACTGACCTCCATGAAAATTGCAGTTGGAGTTCGTGTAATGCTACGATCAAATATCAAAGTCAGTGAAGGTCTTGTAAATGGAAGTATGGGTGTTGTTCGTGGATTTGAATGGAATGCCTTGCGTAGAGATCAATTGGAAAATGGAGAGTTACCGAAAACAGTTTTGATACAATTTGATGATGCTAGCATTGGGCGGAGTTATAAGAACGATGCTGGATTGGTGAGTATTCAGCCGGTCTCTGTAACATATCAAGCCAATAAAGGCTATGGAAATGTCGAGCGTGTTATGCTTCCGCTGATTTTGAGTTGGGGTGTAACGGTTCACAAATTGCAAGGGGTTACAGTCGACCGAGGAGTTGTCTACTTGGGAAAAAAAATGTTTGCGAAAGGTCAAGCTTACGTCGCTCTAAGCAGAGTACAATCGGTGGACGGTGTTATAATAAGCGAAATCGATCAGAATAAATTATTCAACAATCCTCACAACCAACAAGCATTGGCAGAGTTGCAACGGCTACGTGGTTCCAGACAGGAATAATCTCTTCTAGACTTCGTCAGCTCCATGCGACTTTGGCTGCTTTATGCGACTTCGTTTGCTTTATGAGACTCCGTCTGCTTTATGCGACTCTGTCTGCTTTATGCGACTTTGTCTGCTTTATGCGACTTCGTCTGCTCTATGCGACTCTGTCTGCGTCAGGCGACTTAGTCTGCTTTATGCGACTTTGTCTACTTTATGCGACTACAACTGGTTCTCATGATCAACATAATCATACAGATTCTCCCTTCTAATGCAATTATTTTTATTTTGCAGATTGTTTGCAGCTCATCGTATAATCATGCAGTGAGATTTGTCAACAAGGTGCGAAATACTCCAATTCATTAGTTGGCGATATTGCGATATTGAGACTATGATTCAATGACTTTTTTCAATTCTAGGAATCGTACAATGGAGGAATATGGACTGCGGTGGAATGGCTAGAAGGAAAGGTCACTGATGGCATATACAAAAATAAGAGAATGAGAACTCAGCGGATATTTGTCAACTTTTTTTTTATTGAAAATTGAATAACGACATATCAATTAAAATTATATGTCTTGTTGATGACACTTGACGTTGCCTTTTCCTCCCTCCTCTCTCGACGCTGTCTCCCCCCATTGACACCACGACTTCGAATTGGTCCTGTCAATTGAAAATTATAAAAATTGAATGACAGCTCGATATTTTTTTCAGTATGAATAGGTGTTTTGAAGAGCCCACATTGATGTGAAACTGAAACTAACCGTGATTTTGTTCCTGAGGAATGTTTCGTCCTGTAAAAGCAAAGAGCAAATTCCAATGAGCGATTTTCTAGGAAGCTGAGTACTGGGAGACATCTACAAAGAAACAAATACCAATGAAGCTCACCTTGATCTTGCTCTCGGCCCTGGTTTCGTCCTGTCAAGCAGAACCATATTTTCATAAGTTATCCACTTAAAAAAATTTATGGGTGAATTTTTTCTGAGAAGTTGAGTGCTCAAAAAAAAAATAATATCAACGGATGAAAAAAAATCATATTCACCTCTAGCCTGCTCTTGTGGTCTGTACGGACCCTGGTTGTGCCCTATGAAGCAATAACGAAAGACATAAATTAGCATCGGAAGTGAAGGAGTGATTTTCTGGGAAGTTGAGTACCGGAAGAGATCTACCAAGAAGCAAATAACAATGAAGCTCACCTCGATCTTGCGCTCGACCCTGGTTTCGTCCTGTCAAGCAGAAAGATATTTTCATAAGTTATCCACTTCAAAAAATTTATGGGCAAATTTTTCCTGAGAAGTTGAGTGCGAAAAAAATTAATCGTATTAACGGATGAAGAAAAAAATCATATTCACCTCTGGCCTGCTCTTACGGTCTATACGGACGCTGGTTGTGTCCTATGAAACAATAACGAGAGACATAAATTAGCATCGGAAGTGAAGGAATAGATGAAGAGCTGTGGAAAAACTACTCACCTCTCTCCTGTTGCTGCTGTTGTTGACGATACTGGTTCTGATTTTGTCCTAGAAAAAAAAATCAGTTATGTGTAATAATTATTGATAAAAAAAAAATGAGTAATAATTCATTGTCATGTAGGAATATATTGATGTTTTCCCTATTCAGGGACACTGAGAGAATCGAAGAGTTTATAAAATCAAACAAATTCTTACCTCGTGGCTATCCATGTCCGTGATTTCGTGCTGAAATTAGTAAGAAAAATTCAGAGTATGAAGGGAAAAGTATATAATATTGACCGATGTGAGTGCTAAGGCTGCTGCTCACCTTGCCTCTGAAAGCCAGGTCCTGTAAGAGAGCAAAAATAAGCGAAATTAGAGTGGTTCATATGATGACAATAACATTAGAACTTGAGTTATTTATTAAATATGTTCAAATGATGTAGTGAGTTCCAACACTGATGCTAACCTCGGGGTGCGTGCTGTGGCACCTGGTGCTGGCATTGCATCAGGAAATTATACTCCCTTTGGAGTCGCCGATTTTCCTGCTGCATCTCCTCCGTGGCCTGGTGCTGCTGAGCCAGTAGCTGCTTCAGCTGCTGTATCCTGCCCTTCATCGCCGCAAACTGATCTGCATAACCAGCTATAATTGACAAATGTATGAATGATCGTCAGAAAATTACATTTTAATAGAATAAGTGATTTCTATATCCCTAATTACACACCAAGGTAAATATTCAAGATAGCTCATCAAAGACATAATTGTCAAGTTACGTGGAGAATAGATACTTACATCCATAATTTCCCTGGAAGCTCATCTTTGAAAAGTCTCTGAAAAAAACGGAGAATAAAGATGAAATCCATTCGTAGAAATGAATGATTGTAGATGCTCGTGTAATCATGTGACACTTGCTCAACCCTGTATGAATACACCCCCCCCCTCATCACTATATTCATTAAACAGATCTCTCACACAACCAGATTTCAACAAATTATGCCCATAGAATTATTAGTTGTGTGATTCAATCCAACGTGAAAATCATTTCAATTCTAGTGACAGATTCAATAGAATGAAATGACGTGAGTATAAAAAGACCAATTACTGACATGGAAATAGTTACCCCGGTCGACTCCAGACGCAGAACTGAGGATTCAGCTGGGCCACTAATGCTCCGAACCCTCGAAGAAAATATTGACATTGGGTAAACATTCCCTGATGAATCAAACCCAGAGTTAACCCAGACATAACTTTGGGATTATGGAAATTTCCCAGAGTTTGTCTCTCTTTTCCCTGGGGGTTTTCCATGAACCCTGAGATAACTCTGGGTTAACTCTGGGTTTAATCCATCAGGGTTGCCTAGCGCATTTATGTAGGAATGACAATCAAGAGAGAATGCGGTCAAGAGGTGGGTAACTCTTATATACCCATAGAGGGTTAACCGAAAAAACACATTTCGTGAGATATTTTGAGCATCCAATCACGTTAATCAACAAACATGCACAAGAATTGAATTGCATTGTTTGCATTCCACAATCAATTAACACTTAAGTCTTCCAGAACAACGAGAAAAAAAGAAAATACAAAAAAAAAATCTGTACTTACGTCGATTTTGATCACTAGTTGTTTCTTTTTGCAACAAGTAAACACCTCTGTCCTTTGACTTAATATTCATGAGCGATTCGAGAGAATTCGGTACTTCTGGCGGTTCTTATGAATCATAGTATACCAACTCCTCTTTCGCATAAGTCACTACCACTGTTAGGGCTGACGCACAATCACATAAACAGGAATAAGGAACGAATATAAGGAATAGAACGGGGGAATAGAGAACAAAGGGCGTTCCGGTTTAGCGTTCCTACTATTCATTATCAATTTCTTATGCCTCTTCTGTTCATTGTTACCGACCGTCGGTAGAACATAATAGACGCAATGATGTGAATGCGATTTCACACGCCGAAAAATTGAATTGAGGATTCAAAAATTAACCCGAAAATTAACAGTCGGTGAATATTGGATTACCTCTTCATCAACAAGCTCTCGATAATAGAACAGATCGATAAATGATTGGATAATATATAGAAGAAAATTAAAGAATAGGAGGATGGGAAAGAATTGCAAGCCGAGAGAGAGAGAAACAAAAAATGTCGAGAAAAAAATAAAAAACTGGAGGGACAAATTATCAATAACAACCGAAGATCAGAAAAATGACTTATTGATTCTTTAAAAAGCGGAAAATAAAAAACATGAAAAACTGAAAAATTAAAAATTAAAAACCCCCGTCGAAAAAGCTCCTCTTCGTTGAAAAACTAAAAACAAAAAATTGAAAATTGAAATTCCTCGACAAAGAAGTAATTCTTGATTGGAAAAGAAATTAATAAATAATAATTAAAAACCCCCGATGAAAAAGTTATTCGCTATCGAAAAACTCAAATAATAAAAAAAAAAAACTGAAAAACCTAAAATTGAAAAATTAAAAATTAAAAACCCCCGACGAAAAAGTTCCTATTCGTGGAAAAACTAAAAAAAAAAATGGAGAATTGAAATCCCTTGACAAAGAAGTAATTCTTGATTGAAAAAAAAATTGATTAAAAAAAATAATAAAAACAGAAAACGGAAAACTGAAAAATTGAAAATTGAAAACCCTCTACAAAAAAGTCCGTCTTGAACAGTTAAAAAGAGGAAAATAAAAAATCTGAATACAAATGAGACAATTTTGATAACTGAATCAATTCTTGATAACAGAAGGAACAGCAGAAAAAATGTGGGGACACTAGAATTTTCGAGAAGACGAAAATGAAATTTCAAAATACGAACTGAAAAAGTTTGACAGAAAATGCAATTTTTTCGTAACAGAAGAACAGAAGAAACAGCAGAAAAGAATCAGGGGGGGGGGTACCAGAATTTTCATGAAGAGAAAAATGAATAATCAGAATACAAATTGGAATAATTTTACAAAAACTGCAATTTTTTTTGTCACAGATGAAATAGTATAAGAAAGTCGGGGGGACACCAAAATTTTCGCGACTCCATGTGTCCCCCTGACTTTTTTCTACTATTTCTTCTGTGACAAAAAAAATTTCAGTTTTTGTAAAATTATTCCAATTTGTATTCTGATTATTCATTTTTCTCTTCATGAAAATTATGGTGTTTCTTCTGTTCTTCTGTTACGAAAAAATTCCATTTTCTGTCAAACTTTTTCAGTTGGTATTTTGAAAATTTAATTTTCGTCTTCTCGAAAATTCTAGTGTCCCCCATTTTTTCTGCTGTTCCTTCTGTTATCAAGAATTGATTCAGTTATCAAAATTGTCTTATTTGTATTCTGATTTTTTATTTTCCTCTTTTTAACTGTTCAAGACGGACTTTTTTGTAGAGGGTTTTCAATTTTCAATTTTTTCATGTTTCAGACCATTTTACATTATTTCCAATGAAAGTTGGAGAATGTAAAAATCGGACGATTACAAAGCTAACCATTCGGAATCAAAAAAATCGAAATTGGTCTATTAGTGTTGAATTGGGCGCCTTACGCGAGTCTCCTTGTTACCGACAGTGTGGCTGACTGTGTCGCCAAGGCGCCGTTGCGCCTCTATGAGACATACTTGTACTTTGGACCACTTGTGCCTCGACCGTTGTCGCGTTACGTTGCTGAATAAACTTAATTATATTTACGATAATGAAACTGTGTTTAATCATTCTTTCAATCCTAAATAACTCTTCAGGTTAGGGGCCCAGCACGCTTCCACTGCGCGTGATTAAATTTATCATAAATTAAGGGATTGAAAGCAATAAATCGAAAATTCCAAAAAGGACGCTATCGAGCGGTCGGGCACGTGTTCGGGTGGATCACACGCGATACAGAGGGATATCCAGAAAGGAAAAATCGAGGCGAGCTGGGTGAGTGACGACAGACGGGAAGAAAAATGAAAAGTACTCAGAGAAAATGTAAGTACTGAAAAATGCATTACTTAAGTGAAGTGAATTGGTGAGAACGAAAAATAGAAGTGATCAAAATGGCGGCCGGAAATTAATTGTCCACGACGCCGACCTGAAATTGAGATTTTTAGACTGAAAAGAATTAATAAAGAAATCCAATTAAGTTCCCAAAAAATCACTGAAAAGCAAGAAATATCTTTTGTCATAAATAAAATCATATTTAGAGAAAAACAAAAGAAGAAAGCCAAGTGACGCCGTGACAATAATTTCTCGGCGGTGAAGGCAAGCACGGGTTTCAACAGGCTTCAATAAGTAGATGCAAAGGGTGGGTTGCGCGTGCAACCGGGGTGCGTCTGAGAGAGGGATGACAGCAGTCCCACACACATTGCTCGAGCAAGGCGAGAACAATAAGAAATAGAAAGAAAAACGAAAATTGGTGTGAGTATAACAATTGGTGTGAAAAACAACGATTCTCTCTCTCTCGGCCACGTTCCGCGTATGTGCGGGGTCCACCAGCGTAATGTAAAGAAATAAAATAAAATCAATAGACACTAGTGCAAAATTAAAATTTACAAATTAAGGATGCATCCAAATCAAAATATTTAATTGATGAGAATATTGAATTTATAAATATTTAATAGGCGAGAATAACAAATTAAATATTTGTTGGGTCGAATTAATGAAATTGAATTTAAAAATTGCTATCTTCGGACGAAGATATTTATAAATAAATAACTACAGCTGTTAGATGATGATATTGCTATTTCTTTAAATAATCTGGAGTTGTAAATTCCAGAGGTCTGAACTCTCAGACACAATATCAAAACTAAGTGCTACACGCCGAATAGGTTCTTTGTGTAGCTAGTTCAAGAGAGGAGGATGTGTGATTTTAAAAATTGTGTGGAATGGATGTGAGGTTGTGACAGGTGTATTGGGAGACTTTGGAAAAAATCGGATATACACTGCACTTGATTTCACTGTTTTTCCGTTTATTTTAAATAACACACTGAATGGAATTTTGTACAAGTTTGAGAATAACACAGATTTAAGTTTAAATGACGCGAGAATTTCGATGAGAAGTTTACGCCGCGATATTTGAGGTGGTACCTTGAGGGTGTTTGGATTAAGACTGAATTTTAGAGAGAAAATTTCTGAGGAGTTTTAAAATAGAAAAGAAGGGATGAAAATCGCTTGAAGAGAGATGGGTCAGAGGAAGGGGAAATGGATCAGAGGATTTGCCAAATGATTGGTCGGGAAAGATGCGAAAGTGAGTTGGAGAGGGAAAGGTTAGGCGTGCGTTGGGCCCTTTCCCTAATAACGAGAGGGCTCCGAGGACGGTACTTTATTGGGGAGATTAGCACTGGAGAATGGAGAATTTTGTAGTGCGCCAATAAAAACGATTTTGAAAAACACTGAGTTAAAATTACGGGATTAGGACGGTCTCGACACGAGAAAATAAAAGAAATGAAAATGTGCAAGGGATTATTGTAATAAAGTGATTCTACTTTAAAAGATGAATATTTCGAATTTCCAGCAAAGATATTTGAGAATTGTTCGGAATGATTTTATGCTTTTATAGTGGGTAAGAATTTTAAATGGGTAAATGGGGAAAATACCTGGGGGAAAATACCCAGGGGAAAAACCCGGGGGAAAACCCAACGACAAGAAAAATTAATTAAAATCTTAAATTAATTTTGATGCGATTCGTTGTTAATTTCCCGTGCTTGACACGCAACAACAGCTAATAAAGAACTTCTGTATGAAGTGTGGAGACTTCTAATTAGATAACATCAAATCGAAGGAAACCATGAGGGAGAAGTGGTCTCCCTAGTAATAATAGACGATAAAGTATATGTGCTTCCAGACGAAGGAACTGGATATGTAACAGGCGAGACATCAGGCCTATGTGTAAATAGGCGAGCATACTATACACATTAGAAACGTGCAATATTAAGAAGTCAAATTACTTGAGAAATATTTAAATAAATATTTTGCAATCATAAAAAGACTCGAATGTGTTTGGAGATCTTATGTTTAGATTTTCTGAAGATCACATTCATTCTGAATTCGGTCTGTTTATGTTCAACAAGTTGAGTTTAGGATTTTGGACCTGAATATAAAAAATGTAACCAAATACGAATAATCCTAAATTTCTCGGTAAAAGAGATTTCTCAGAGGATCAATGGAGATGTCTGACTGTGTTAGACGCTGCATTGTTGGCTGAATAAAAGTCAATGTATCTACCTGGTTACGGTCCGAAGAGTCAAGTGTCAACAACAGTTGTGATCAAGAATGGGCCAAGTAAGATGAACAAAGATTTGGTAAATACAGAGGCGAGGGCTACAGGCGAGTCCAAGTCAAGCGAATTGACTGGAGGCGAGACGAATAGCGGCGAGTTAAATGGTGGCGAGATAAGTGGAGGCGAGAAAACTACAGGTAATATTGATGTTGACAAAACTGACCAAATCAAACTGAAACCCCAGATTACAGCAGATAATAAAGTAAATATCAAATTGAAATTGGTAAATTCTAATCTAGACGATGAGTCAGTTGAGCCTAACGGCAACAAGACTGTCAAAACAGTCTCTGTAGACACACAGTTGGCTGGGGGCCTATTCTCGAAATATTTCCGTGCGCGGAATCGACTCCGTTGCCGGAACGCCTATATGATTCCTATACGCAATTTGTCTACGAAGCCACTTCCGTGCACGGAAATATTTCGAGAATAGGCCCCGTGAGTTGAAGAGCATGGTGAAAAAGCTCTGTAACTCAAATATACCTTCAAAAAAAGTACTATATGAAGGTCTAACAGAGAATAGAAACCAGGTGAGACTGAATACTGAGGCGAGAACACAAGACAAAAAGGAAGTACAGGAGCTGTTGAGTGCCTTGGATAAAAAGCACAATGACAAAATTGGAGAAGTGATAACAGCCTTCAATAATTATCGCAATACTGTCGAATCATCAATCCAGGTAACAACAAACAAAGAGAAAACAATAGATGGAGGAGTGATGTCAGATGAGCATACAAATCTAGAAAGTCAAATTAGTTCAATAGTCAATAAACAGATCAATGAAATTAATCAGACAAAGTCAAGTCAAGAAAACAATCTAAATCCTTTGAGTCAATTAGCTGGCGCGGTAACCAATAAGTTACAAATTGAATTGCTTAACAAAGGAATGAGTTTCAAAAGAGATTACAAAATGGACAATAAAATGAAGTATGAACATTTCTATGATTATTTCTCGTCAGAAATTAAAACTAATTCAAAACTTTTACACATCATTGATGATAGCATTCTGGTTACTGTGGACGAAGAAACACTTT